TTCCTGTGATATAAATTATTTAAACTAGTTGGAAATATGCAACAATTTACGTTTCACTTCTTTTTCTTATAATATGTTAAACAACACATTGGTTAACAGTTATTACGTAACAGATATATCATCATACAACATCGAAAATACCTACGCTATAATAGCCCACTAAATCTGAAAGACACCAGGCGCTCACTACGAGGAAAAAGGAACCTAAGCACGCGCTTAGAGAGATAAAATAACGTCGCCCGCCATTTACATTACCCCAGCATTCGATAGCGAAAAAGTAAATTACAAGACTTATCTGAGCGCTTGCAATGTCGGCGGAACACTTAGCGGTAGGCACTTCCGCATAGCCTCGAACGAGCCACGGAGCCCTGGTTGAACACTTTAAAAAAATGACGATCTGTACGTCCTGACCGTCATTTTTTCTACATTAGTGTAGGTAAATTTCGTTAACTTTCCTTAGCTTCTTGACAATGACGACCGACCCAGAGGAACAAAAGAAGTTAAAGCCTTTAATGCTAACCGGAATGTTTCTGCAAATACCCAAAATATCGATCAAGCCAACTTTGGAAGAAATCCAGGCAGCGTTTTCACAGGTAAAGTGTAACAAGACCTGACTTCATAATATTATAATTCTCTTTATGTTAAATCTTTAAAACAGTTTCACTGCAAAGCACTTCAGTTTCTGAAAACGGCAAGTGAGATTAGCAGAGTAGCAGCAGATGGCTTTCCAGAATAAGGGCTTTCTTTTTCTTTTTTTGGTAACGGGGGTGAGGGAATCTTCAATAGATACCCCACTACCTGGGGGAAAATTCGAGTTATGTGGGATTTCTACCCACTAAAACCCCTAGGCAGCCTGCGAGCATATTGAGATGGCATATCCGATGCTACCATGCACAATACCCTTTCGGGCCCCTCTCGGGCCCCTCTCGGGCTTGTGGTCAACTACATTCCTACTGAGATCAGCACAGCTCCGTGCCACCACCACGTAAGTTGTCTTCTCTTGTCTGGAGTCGTTGAAATGTTAATATGGACGACCAAAGCCCCCGTTTTGGCTCCAAAGTCCTCTTCTACGACAGGTAGGGGTTGATATATTCCTAGTCTTAGGGCCAAAATTAGAATAGAGGCCTATTACAAAAACACTTGATTGATCAGGACGCTGGTGCATCTGTGCGTTAAGCCGTCGAATTGAATTGAATGAAACAAGCTTTACGTGTTCTGTAATATTCTCGTGAGTATTGTAGTATCAACGTCCGCATGACGCGCTGTGCACCACCATTACACTTCGTATCACTCTCGAAGATGAGATTTGTTTACATGCAGTACGTAATATGGTGCCGTCTGTCACGTCACGTATTTGAAATTTAAAATGAAAATTTTTGTTTTTCTTATATTATTATTATATTATATTATTGTTATTTTATTTTATTTGTTAGGTCAAAAACCACGTAGAAAACTACCAATGCAGTAAGCTAAGTGAACTTGTGTTAACACCTGTTAAGTGAAAATAATCAACCGGTAAGTGAAGTTTGATATTTTCAAAGTGCAAATTGTAACTTATTGCATTATTATTATTACATAATTGCTGCCGCTCCCGCATGGGCCAACTCTGTCTGAGCAGCGCCATCTCACTCTTTGCATTGTAAACGCCACATTCACATGAACAAATATTTATTAGTTCGCTGCGATTGTTTTTAACATCAGTCCTTTTTCACTACAAACAAAACTCCGTTTATATAGTTATGCCTACTTACTCCACGTAAACCATGTCGACGATGATTGATTTGTTCTAAATTATCAACATTTAACAAAGTTCCAAGCAAACGGTGTCGAAGATGTTTTGTTCTAAATGAACAATACATAATACAGCCCCACGTAAACCGTGTTGAGGACAATTTACTCTAGTCTATTATTATTATTTATTCTAAATGAACAATACTTAATACAGCTCGACGTAAACCGCGGCGAGGATAATATTTAATACAACTCCACGTATACCGTGTTCAGGATGATTAATTGTTCTAAAATGGACAATTAATCTCTCTCCATCGTAAACTGTATTGAGGATATTTTAAATTTACTCTGATCCATTATTACTTATCATTATTATTATTGTTATTATTTATTCTAAATGAACAATACCTAATATTACTCCTCGTAAACGTGTCGAGAATTATTTAATTGACTTGTTCTAAATAAATGAGCAATTGTTGTTATTACAGCTCTACGTAACTTGTGTTTGAATGGCTAGTGTTTCTATATGGAACTGTATACCCACTGACTTGGTATATCGTATTCTCTAGAATTTGTAAACGAGAGAGCTAGATTTATTTATGATACTAAGTGACTGGACGAACAATTCGTGCGCCTGGTGGTGAGCGTCACGCTTGTCCATAACAGTTGCAGTGCCGCTCAAAGGGCACTGTCACTGCGACTGTCGCCCTGAGACATAGGTTGAAAGATCACGTACACCTGTAATTCCACCGGCACCCTTAACTTTCAAAACCGGAACGCAATAATGCACCCATTACTGCTTGGTGACAGAAAAATAGATCTTCTATAAGCATGAACTCCTAGTTATACTTAGTACTTAGAAATGTACTCAATTAGCATTATATGCTGCCCTTACGCATCCTAGATGATAGCTGCTCACCTACTTTTTTATTGTTATTGTACTTAGTACCTGCCGAGCTTGTGTGTTTCTTTTTATTTATAGACGCTATTCCGATCAGGTACTCGTAGATAACGAAAATGTCAATGAAAATAATGAACACATAACAACAAAGAATAACACTCGCCTTAACGATGTATCGAAATAAAACTCGCAATCTTCGCGTCAACTCAAGTGACGAAACTATTTTTTGGTTTTAAAAAACTTCACAAACTTGTGGGATCTCGAGCAATTGATGATGGGGTAAAACAGATATTACAAATGCGACGTAGACACCATATTCGGTGCGCACAGCACGCGTTACACAAGTGTGCGCACAACACAAGCACATCGGCGGTGCGCCGATCCAATGTCAGTCTACATGCGATTCGCAGGCTGGAGCGATTCCTCTGTTTTTCTGAAAATCGAATCTTGATGTTAACACCTACTCAAGACAAGGAGTATGTCAATTCTGTCTTCGACTATTTAGAACAAAAAAAGATATTTGCTCTACATTATAAGTAAATAAATGATCTCCAAACCTATAATTATTACTTATTATAATAATTACTAATTATTGTTTATTAGAATTGCTCACTTTGTTTTAATAAGTACTAGAATTACTAGAAAATAATAAAATTCGGAGTTGCAACGTAATGTATAATCCAGATATCTTCGTGTTCCCCTAAAATGCTGGCAAAAAATTTTGTGTATAGCTTTACTCTAATAATAATGAAAATGGAAGGGAGCGTGTATTTTTAGCTCATAAGGCTTTAAATAGTGTGACAAGGACGGCATTGTACTAAGTAGGTATATCTGCATGTATACAATTAATCATCTTCGTTCGTGATACTCATATAATTAGAATCAAACTTCATTAGTTAAGTTCGTTTGATTCTTAAGTATAAATAGGTTTTTGTCAAACCGACGCTTCGATGCTGTAACCGTACACTGTTAAGAAGGTGTATAGCACAGCAAGCATAATTATATTGTATTATTTGTCGTCGTAACTTTTCTGGATACATTCATTCATTTTAGGTGGTGTTAAACTGTATTATGGATATTCACCGCAACGTTTACATGTGGGGTCAGCAGGACTTGCTCAAGAGAGAGATGACGGCTGGGAAAAACGACAGTCACAGCCTTTCCGTAACCGTAGGAGGTGGCAGTAAGTATGTAATAGAGATTTAATAGACATTAAATACACAACATAGCCTTTTTAACTGGCTGGTCTAAATGGAGGCTAATATTTTTTTCGGGTGCATGTAGGTAAGTATGTCTGTTTATTTGACTCTTCTTGTAGCTTAAACGGTTTGATGGATTTTAGTGCATGAGACGGTGGGTGGCGTTTTATCAAACATAATTTTCGTTGACTTGAAACCTCAATAATACAATACAAGTATGGTAATCAAATGAAAGGCTGTAAAAAGATAATTGTAAGAAAGCATTGTATCGGACATATTCCCATCGAAAAATAATTTTAATCTGTAGACACACTGACAATGGTTAACAACAAATTTTCAAATGGTTAAACAAACTTTTGGTGCAGTCAAACTTTTAGCTTTTTTGGACAATTGGCTTAAGTACACAGTTTAGAATGCTGTTGACTATGAAATTTTTCAACGATTCGTCGCTTGTTAGATTTTATTTATTAATTTTTCCTTCCTAATGTAAAATTTTATAAATGGATTCGATACAATTCAATTACAGGTAGATCCAGTTCTTCGTTTGGTGGTTTCAGAAGTTACTTCCGAATGGTATCTGAACACAAAGAAATTGTAAGATCGGTGATGGCTTTGCAAGGAATGATGTATATGTTTAAGCCTGATATTGAAAAATTACTGAAGGTAAGCCGACTGGGTTCTGTATAAAGAAATTAGATTTAAAAAAGATAGATATGGGCATGCTAATAATTGATATGATCAGTCTTTTTAGTGTATGTTTTGCTTTTGTAAGTAGACAACTTCTTTTAAGCGGGAGTTTACAGCTATAAGTCGCTTGAGCATAAAGTGCAGGTTATACCATCTTGTATAGGAGTTTCTAATTCGTTTTTATAAATACCTGCCTTCTTTAAAGTGCAAAATATGATATTGCATGTGCATTAACGGTATATCTATGAAATAAATATATTACAATTTCCATATACTGCCGAGTTTTTGGGTTTTGGGAATTGAAACGGTTGAACCTTCGTTTCGGGCTGACCATTGGATCAGTCGTGACCATTGGATCTGTAGAGCCCGAAACTTTGTTTGAAAAAACAAAATCAATGGATGTAAAATTGACGCGATTTTAGATTCATTAAAATACTCAAATTGTTTTGGTTTAAAACAGTAAGTAATCGTTTATTATAACAATTTTTCAGAGTTACGGTCGATTTAGCCACTTATGGGCCGAGGATAGAGTGCAACAGGTGCAAGGTTTCGTAGACTCAAATCCTCTGAATGTAATAATCAGAGACATGCTAAAGAAATATGAATCTCAAACAGACGAAGTAAACAATCTCCCTGTCAGACATATTATCGGGTCTATTGAAATAAATATGGGTAACTTTTTTGTTGCAAAATTCTAAACAATTTTATGTAGTACACATCTAAATGTAATACGTGGTACCTAATATTACTTCTAAAAAATGTAGTGAGAATTAAGTTGGAGTGCTTTTTGTACAATTACATAATTATTACTAAAAAACATGGTTAGATGTTTGTTAATATTTTCAAATTTTGATTCGGTTTTGTAGTCACGTCAAAGGCGAAATCACACGGTCAAAATTACTCAAGCCCAAATTTGCTCGATGATAAAAATTATAATGCTTTTTGAGTTAAAATAGTTCCTAGCTTAAGACTGATAAACCGGTTCAGGCTATAGAGTAACGTTGAGTGTGGGCGATCCAAATTAGTACGGGATGGGTGATTTATTTTTCCGATCGAATGACGAATGAATGATGCGTGTAAGCTATATTTAAAAATCATGCTCACCCTGAGATACATCTGGACTTGTGTAGACTCTCAAAAACTAATTCTAAATTTTAGACAAAATAAAGCTTGGTCTTTACCTTGAGTCAATAGAGTGGAAAAGAATTTTGGGCAAACTATTAAGTCACGCTTACAAAGAGCGAGTAGTAAAAATGATGCAGTTCATCAACGACCGCATGAAAACTATGGGCAAGAAAATTAAAGATTTGGATGACGTCAGAGTTCAAATGTTGTGTTTGGAGTTGATTCGAGACGAATTCATCGGGTAAGTTGTTTATTCGACCCGGATTCACCCGTTTATAGTCACAAAATAGGAGGCACCTTTTGACACTTTATCATCGCGACGTAAATAGGGATGTGGACTAAATGTATCATTAACCATATTAGACGATTATAGAAATTGATTCGAAATTTTCTGAGTCTGTGATCGTTTAGATTATTTTTTGGATCATTGGATTTCAGTTCTAGATAGAGCAATTAACATTTATTTAAGCAATACAGAGTTTAATATAAATAATAAGCAAGTATTTTAGGCCTACAGTGGGTGAAATCAGGCTGTGGATGATGATGAAATATTTTAAATGATCACAATGACGACCTGTAGCTGTTGTTGTAGTGTAGTTACATTAATAGGGTTCACAAGGAAAACCTGTAATTAAATAGTAAACTTCTGAAGAAAAATAAAAATAGACTTCATAGTTGAAATTTTTATTCACTTTATTCGGAAGATGTACTAAAATCATCAGTTGAGCTAGTATCAACTGTATGTATCTAATATAATATTTCATTTTCAATCAATAACATCTGTCAAAATCAAAATTGAAAATTCAGCAACGTGTTTTGTTAATGTTTTTTTTCCAGAATGGATATGGAGCTCGATCTGATAGAAGAGAGTTACGCCACATTCTCACAATTTAAAATTGACATATCGAAAGAGGATGCAGACTTGGTGTACGGATTGCGATATGCATTCCAAAATATGTTGATGACTGTACGTTTTATTGTATTGTTAGTTTCAATAGTCGTAACAAGTTATATTTCGAGCGATATAGTATAACAGTTAACAAAATAATACATTTCTTCCACTCATATGTTGAGTGTGTGCGTTATTATATTATTACTATGTTACTTGGAATCGAAATCTGTTCTTGTACTCTGATTTCTGTAACATTCAATGCAAGATAATGGAATACTTATACTCCATAACTATATATTCCATTAACTTTATATTCCATAAAAATTAATTTATGACAGACAGGATAACTATAATATATTAATTTTAATCCATGAATATTTAGGGGTCAATATCGTTATAATTAAAATTTCGTATCAAAAACAATTTGAGCAAAAATATTATGACAACGTTTATTATATGAATACCATATGTTTATTTATACCATATTTTATAATCGTTTTAAATTTACTAACAAATATGTTTTTACTCAAGAAAAAATATTACAAAGTAGATTTACAAAATGTTCTTGATATAATTTTTCGCATTGCCACATCAAGCCACCGTCTTGAATGAGAGTAATATGCAAAAAAATACTTATAAATAGCTACATCACTTGTTAATTCACACCTTTTTATTGCCCCCTTCAAGAGTATTGCGCATTGTGGAATAATCAATATTAAATGTCGAATTATTAATTACCTTATAACTAAAAATCTGAACAAATACAGAAAAAATACTTTTGTTTTATCCTCGCGGTAGAAATGATTTAAGAAACATCGTTCCCACAATCGACTATGATTCCAGGCGGCACAAGTACAACAAAGAATAGTAGACATGCAAGGTCCATTGCAGAATGAGCTGACTGAAGGCGTGGCGACGTTCCAAGATGATGTGTTTAAGTTTGACGCTGACTACGATGCGTTTGGCCCTATGACACCTGGGCTTTCAGCTAGGGAGGCTAGTGACAGGTTAGTTAAAAAAAAGGCTTGTAGTTTTTCAACACAGGTTAATTTTAGCAGCCATAGAGTTCCTTGCGAAGAATTCGTCTACTGCCACCGTACCTATTTCTGCCGCCAAGTAGTAATGTGAGCATTACTGCGTTACGGTTCTGAAGGGTAAGGGTGCCGGTGGAATTACAGGTGTGATGTGATTTTTCAACCGTATGTCTCAGGGCGAAATTATGAAGATTATGAAAAGATCTGGGGCACTGCCACTGCGCTCCCCTGAGACATAAGTTGCCAAGTCCCATGTGCTAGTAATATAAATTTTCATTACATTATGAAAATTCGAGCAAACGTTATTTCGGACTACTGACAGGTAACCCATTTACCCTTCATCATCGGAATGCTGTGATGCTCACATTACTGCTTAGCGGCAGAAATAGGTAAGATGGCAATACTTTCCTAGACGAACTCTTTCACAAGGAGCCCTACTGCTACTAATGTGTTTTATGATGTGTTAATTAACTTTGTATGTTCAAATTTTTGACTAAGTTGGAATATTTTTTATTTATTGCAACTAATTTATGCCTTTGACAGGGTAATATTGTTCCAAGCCCGATTCGATGAACTATGGCGTAGATTCGAGATGTATTCAAATGGTGAAAAATTGTTTGGTATGGAAGTGAAAGATTATCCTATTTTGCATCAAAAGAAAAAGGAATTCAACTTATTGAGTAAATTGTAAGTATCGTCAATGTTAAGTAACTCTCTGGTAAAAATGATTTCGCCGAATTTGATTGTGCATACAGTGCTTTGTAGATATCCAGCGCGAGCAGTACTTTGTACCTAATAAATAAAAAAAATATTTATTATGAAAAATTTTTCCTCATGAGCGTTGTGGTGCGAGACACTGTGTCACACGAAAATTGTTGTTAAAAACTGATAGGTCATCATTACACTCGAAAACTCAAAACAAAACTTTTTGCTCTTAGTAGACAAAGATAAAAGAAAGGAAATACGTTGATTTTCATCTATTTGGTTTGATCTTTGGTCTACTAAATCGACAAGTTTGGCATAAAGTCGACAGTAGTCGACATCAAGTTGACATGGATGTTGGGACATAAAAATCAATGAATTTCATTCATTTTGTTGAATTAATCTTTATACGCGCATATATTTGCAGCAGGAACATCAATGTACCTAGAGTTATTTGCGTATCAAATCCTCTAAACTTTTCTACTCCTACCCATATCGATTTGTTCTCATCGCAGCTATAGTTACTTATCCTGAGACTATAAATCAACGTCACGAGACATTTGCAGCTTGCGCCCTTTGGTACCTCTTAATTCTAATAAACTTATCATCGTTGAGGGAGAAAACATTTTTATCCTTTTTACAGAATTCTACCTGTTTATTTACTACATTTTTTATTTGATTCATTGTAGTTCTGGTATATAGGTCAATAGATCGCGGAGAGGCAATAAAAGACCGTTCGTAATAGAAGCTCGTCTATTACTACTTTGGTTTTTGTTTTATAGTGGCTTATATATAAATTATAAATTGTTTTGTACATATACAACACATTAAGTGAATTGGCGTACGCATTTCCCTAAATCTGAATGGAATATCGAAAAAATTAAAGCGTAATCCTAGTAATCCACTATTACCAATGATTTTGTTATACAAAAAATCTCTTCGCTTTTTGTGTGTCGGTGACTTTAGAATTCTATTAAGATCAAACTTATCGCATTACCCCTTGACATATTTATTTGGTAGTGTGATTAATGTATTATAAACACCACTTTATATTTGACAGATTAATTGTTATTCATTTATTGAACAATGCTATAAAGTCATCTTTGCACATTTTAATAATTTAGAAACTCGTAATAATAAATTTTAAACTAAGTAAATCGTGTAAAAATTGTGATGAAAAAACCCTCCATTTTTAGTTTGACAATTTAATAATTTAAGGCAATTTGACACGAATTTTTTCAGCGTCACATTAGCATGCAACGTTCACTTTAAAGTTCAAATCAAAAGCCCCTATTACCTTCTTACACAAAAGCTTTTGCGTTGCATATTTCGCTCTTCACTCTAATTTTTCGTGTAAACGATTCGATGTCAGCTAAAATTAGCTTATCCATCAATCGCTAAAACTATATCTATATATATATATCCATATCCAACCAACCGTGTTCGGTCATGGCATCGAGTATATAACTTGAAGTAGCGACGAAATAAGAGCCATACATATCTGGTAACTCATCAGTGATACATCACTTACAAATGTCAAATCTCGTTTGCACTGAAATATAGACAGCGCCAACAACTGACCTGTGATATTTTTACACACTGTACACTGCGTATTTTTATTTAATAAACGAGATGCTATATAAATTATTTTTCTTCATCTAAAGTTGTCAAAATTGAGATTAGTACCTACCGGTTGCCAGTTCACAATCGATATGTTAAATTCCATTCGCCAGTGGCAACTACAAATCTTTTTATCCCATTTGTCAACTGGTAACACTTGGGTATTTTCCCATTTGTCGCCAGTGGAAATCACCACTGGCAACAACTAAGATTTTTTATCCCGCTTGTCATGACCTAGTAACAAATGGGTTTTTTCCTCATTTGTCGCCAGTGGGAATAAGCAAAAAAACCGACCTCAAAAGTTCGTGAAATTAAATTTATTTGCCAAGTTTTATTGAAATCAGCTACCGCAAAAGTGCGCGAAACCAGATTGATCCCCGAGTTTGCCACCCTTAGTGGTGGAATATTTTATTCAAATTTCAATAGGAGCAATAATGAGGTACCCTCTTTGCTAAAAAAAAAAGAATTATCAAAATCGGTTTTCGGGTTATTTCGTAACACACATACAAAAAAAGTACAGTCCAATTAAGAACCTCCTACTTTTTTGAAGTCCGTAAAAAAGTACAACTAGTTCTGTTCTGTCAACAGAACTAGTCGGAGTAATGGGTTCTTCAAACTCGTGGACATGCCCTCTTCACACTACCCCGCCATTCGTAGCGCAGTGCTGCCAAAGCTTTCCATTGAGACGGCTCAATGTTACATCTTCTTATTAATCGCTTCTGGACATCTTTGTATACCCAAATAATGTTCGTCGTATTTTCTTCAAAAAATTACTTATTCAATGAAACCTCACAGCCTGGCCATTGATCACTGCTTTTTCTAATAAGTATAAAAGCAGATCAACGCTATCCTGACAGTCATAAGTTTAATATAGAACATTGACACAGTATTTTATCTTGAAAAATATTGTCTTACAGATACAGTTTATATCTAGCTGTAATGAATTCGATCGACGGCTATTTTGAGACGCCGTGGGGAGATATAAAAATTGAAGTGATTGTTCAACAGCTAAATGAATTCGATTTGAGGTATGTTTTTAATTTTACATAGTATTTTTCTTGAATTTAAATGATAAGGATATGACAATCCCGTAAACATTCAGTAGTTTGAAAAAAAAAAGATTGTATTAGGTTAGATCCGAAAAAACGGTTCCATTCCAAATTATAAGTTTTCATTCATGGAACGTACACACATCAAAAAAAGTTTGCGATCAATAGCATAAGCTCCTATAATTCTTTAAATTTAACTTTATCAAGAAAAAATCTATGTTGTATGCTTTCTTTAAATAGAAACTATTTTTTATTATTTATTTTAAAAAATTGAGCCATTAATCATAATGTAATAGTGATAGAAATTTCATAGAAAGAAAAAGACTGTTTAATTAAACTTAAACAACAATTTATTATTAAAAGGTGTGAATTCAATATAAAATAACTCCTCCCCTGGCTCGAATACATGCGAAGATCCTCCTGGGCATGCTGAGGATCAAGTTATCCAGCATTTCCTGGGGTAACCTATCCCATTCTTCAATAGCGGCTTCCCAGAGCTCCGGAACTGTCTGGGGACGTGGCTCACGGTTCCATACTGCTCGTTTAAGAGCATCCCACGCGTGCTCTATTGGGTTTAAGTCGGGCGAGCCGGCAGGCCAGTCTAATCGTGTGATATCGTATTCTTGAAGAGCAGCATTGACTCGTTGAGCTCGATGTGCGGGCGCATTATCATCGACCAGTACAAATTGGTGCCCATGGTTTACTCGGAATGGTCTGACGATATCATCAATAGCAACTGCTTTGTACATGTCTGCTGTCATGAAGCCCCGATCAAAGGCGTTCTAGCTCCAATCATAATGCCACCCCAAAAGGACACCGATTTTCCGCCTTGCTGAACTGTTCCAGTGGCAGTTCTTTGTCTTTCACGGTCGCCTGGTCTTCTCCAGACACGGACACGTCGGTTATCTGGATGAGTGCTGATTCGGGATTCGTCAACGAAGAGACAGTTTTGCCAAATGTTTTCGTCCTCACCTTCTTCATTTTGTCGAAGTCTAGCCCACTGCAATCTTCGTTGTTGACGTTGCCGGGAATTGAGCGGAGCTCGCCAAGACCTCCGTGCTCGTAATCCAGCCTGGTGCAAGCAATTGCGAACGGTCTGCGTGCTAACTTCAAGCCCAGAGGCGGCCCTGACTTCTGCTTTTATTTTAGTGGCGTTGATTGTTGGATCACGGGCTGCCAGCAATCTAATATAGCGCTTTTGGGCAGCTGTCAAAACAGTTGGGCGACCGCTGCGGGGTCGGTCAGCTAAATTCCCCATTCCGTGATACCTCTGCAACGTAGCCACGACACAGCATTGGGATATAGCAAGTTTGCGTGCTATTACTCTCGTGGTGTATCCTTCTTCCCTCAAAGTTACTATTCTAGCTCGTAAAACCTCTGATAATCATCTTGGCATTTTTTCAATCACAACTATCCGCGAAAAATATCTTGAATCGCTTATAATTGACTAAATCAGATTTCTGAATGAGCGTAAGCTAGGACTGAAAGCCTTTTTATATGAAAAAACAATTGAACGGGGTCATTGTTTTATGTTCTAATTTATTTTTAAATAAAGAATCTAAAAAGAAGAAAAAATCATAATATAATCTACAGTAACAAAAAAGATTTCAGTTTTTCGAAGTGATCGCAAACTTTTTTTGATGTGTGTACGTAAGGTGTTGCCTTCCGTGTATTTTTTAAACGATCATAATATTCCATAGATGTCGAAAGCTACCGCGCGCTATGAAAGATTGGCCTGCGTTTATAGAATTGAAGAAGAAAATTGACGACTTCAATCAGACTTGTCCCTTGCTTGAGTTGATGGCAGATAAAGCCATGAAGGATAGACATTGGAGGAGACTGGAGCAGTTAATGAGTGAGAAACTGATAATATTTATTATTCAGTACTTGGTTATATAAGTAACGCACGCGGTGCATCAAATTGGAGAATCTTATTCCAAAAGATAGCTTGCATTATGATATGATCAAACGTTTATATTGCAGATTGCGTCTTGGATGTGGAGTCAGACTCATTCACGCTAGCTAACGTTATGGAGGCACCTCTATTGAAATACAAAGAAGACGTTGAGGTATTGAAATTAAATTGAAATTCGAACTTAAATAAATTGTTCTCTTCTCGTTTATATATATAACAATTGATCTCCATTTCTGGAGTTCACCTCTTGATTGCGTTTTCGTGGGTCAAAGGTTGTTGTTTATGTGAGTTGTGTTTGTACGCCCATATTGTTACTGTTTATTTAATGTTTCTTTTCATTATAAATTTACAAAATCACAGGATATATGTATCAGTGCAGTAAAAGAGAAGGATATTGAAGCTAAATTGAAGCAAGTAATGGCTGACTGGGCAGTAATAGATCTAACATTTGCCAGCTTTAAAAATCGCGGCGAATTACTCATCAAAGCTTCTGATACTATGGAAATTATTACATTGCTTGAAGACTCCCTTATGGTTCTAAATTCGCTTGCTTCGAACAGGTGAGTTATTCTCACCGTATCATAGGAGCACACACATTCGTGTAGGAGGCTAATGTGTTTAAGATAGGCTAGTTAATTCATTTCTATTTCGTAACTAATGTTTTGATTTAAAAATGGTAATCATTAAAAAACTAATGTGAGCAATATCCGATTCATAGATATAACTTGCCTTTCAAAAAAGATATCCTCCTATGGATATTTAAACTACAATCTACATCCGAAATTCTGGAGAAATGGCTGCTAGTCCAGAATTTGTGGATGTATCTGGAAGCAGTGTTTGTTGGCGGTGATATTTCAAAGCAATTGCCAGCAGAAGCCAAGCGATTTGCGGTGGGTTTTTATTTTTAAGACGCTTTTCTCTTTCTATGCCGAAAACCCACCTAGCGAGTCTAAGAATATCGCTGTACGCCGACTCGCTACCGGGTTCATTTAACGTACTTATTCAACCCACACAAAATTATTCTTTATTCTCATCGAAAGTGTTAAGCTTATGAGTAGTTTCTAGTAGTTTCGTGCAATTGCAATTCCCATCTAGTCTCAAAGTGGCTCAAATTAGATATTAAATCTGAAACAAATTTGATATGATACGCAACTTGATCTCTGTGATTCATTGTATATTTGTATTAACAGACCATAGACAAGCAGTACGTGAAAATAATGTACCGAGCACGTGATATAGTAAATTGCGTGGAAGTATGCACATCAGATGACACATTGAGACATATGTTACCTCACCTATTTGAACAATTGGAGGCATGTCAGAAATCCCTTACTGGATATTTGGAGTCCAAGCGTCTCATCTTTCCAAGGTTCTTCTTCGTGTCCGATCCAGTATTACTGGAAATTCTTGGACAGGCGTCCGATCCACGCTCCATACAGGTATGTTTGCATTTTAAATAGTTTTTTAGAAACTTCGTAGGTTTTTTAAAATTAAAAAACGTAAAATTAAATGAATCCAGATGATACCTGAGTAAGTCTCTAGTTAGGTAGATTAATACCTAGTTTCAATTAATTTTACACCTCAGCCCCATCTTCCGAGCATTTTCGACGCTATGTACACAGTGGACTTCGACGACAAAGACAGGATTTACCAGATGAACTCCGACAACGGGGAGACTATCCCTATGGAGCGTCCTGTAGCTTGCGTTGGAGGTGTCGAGGTAACATGATAAATACAAATTTATATGTGGACGATGTTCATATCTAGGTTGCGGCCCTCCTCAACTAGCATTCAGATAAATTTGATATTTGAGTAAAGTAAAATATCTCTGCTAATACTGTACAGAGTAGTGAAAAATCGACCGCAAAAGGTCGTGGTCGTGGTCGTATTTGCCACGTTTTATTGAAATCGATAACCGGAAAGTGTGCGAAACTGGATTCATCCCCTAGTTTGCCACTCTTAGAGCTGGAATATTTGTTTTAAATTTAAATGGGGGCCCATTGCCCACTGCTGAGATACTCTTCCTTTTCCAACAAAAAAGAATCCTCAAAATCGGTTCTCAAATCGTTGCCTTATTTTCTCGAACTCGTATCTTATAAAGAGTGATTATTCAGGAGATGGCAAAACTTTTTATTTATTTTAAATTTCTTATCAAGGACGTTAATTGGGATGCATTACTTTGAGAATTGGCCAGTGTGTGAATATGAAGGAAATGTGATGTGAAATCAGCCTGGAAAATTTGTGTATACAATCCATTTTTTGCATTTCAGTAACTTTGTGCTTTAAGATACGAGTTTGAGAAAGTAAGGCGACGAAATGCCGGAGTAACGTAACATACATACAAAAAAAGATACATTCGAATTGAGAACCTCCTTTTTTTTAAGTCGGTTAAAAATAATTGTTATTGTCCATGCCTAGAACAGATTTTATATAGGACTATGTAATTTATTATACTTTGGTGATTGTGTTGAATGAACTTAGTAAAATCCGAAAATATCAGTTATTTTCCATAAAGTAAAATGGTTGTCCTTGACAAGAATAATTTGTACTCTTTAGCTGATGAATATTAAGATAACCAGATAAAGGAACTAACAAGGATGCTACGAATCGATAATGGGCGAGCCCTGAAAATTTTCGTATTCTACCCAAAGACTAAATTCATACTTACTATTTTCCTCAAAACTTAGATTATTGTTGTTTTGACCGAGGGGAAAACGCAAAGTTGCGAAGGTTTGTCCTGAAATAATGACAACAGAGCAATCCATCAAGTCCATATCATCATTGCTCATGTCAAATTAATTGTAACGTGGAACTTAAAAAATTATTTTTACAGATCTGGTTAAATGTACTGCTGGATACGATGAAGGACACTGTGCGAAGCATGATCGCTAACATATGTCAAACTATGACTGGAGATCCAGAGTTTGATTTCATCAATATGTTCTGGAATTTCCCTGGACAGGTACACTCTCCACTTTGAATTCGGAAGTATGGCGCGTCGACATTGCACAAATAATTTGTGGAATATTATAATATAATATCGATTAAACCTACCGAATAGTACCTTTATGAATTTATTAAACGTCCGAATTATCTAAAGTCCTTCAGAACAAAATACGTGTATAAACTAAAAGTCGTAACTTGTATGATTCACCTATAGTATAAACAAGTCGCGCACCTGGTGGTAAGCGGCACGCCTACTCATAACAGTTGCAGTGCCACTCAAAGTTTTACATCGCACAGCTGTGACAGTCACTGCTCTCGTCACTTTGATACATACATTTAACGAGGCCCACGGGCCGGTAACATGTTAGCCTGTACATGGTATTAGTAAGTTGATGATACAGACCTTTCTTTGAAGCATGTAAGTGTAGTAAGGTGGAATGACAAATGAGAGTTAGCGCAGCTTTATTTGACGATGCTATAATTAGTACAATGTATTATAATTTAGTAGCAGTCGAGCTCCTTCTGAAAGAGTTCATCCAGAGAAGTACAGCCACCTTAACATTTCTGCCGCCAAGCAGTAATATCAGCATTACTGTGTTCCGGTTTTGAAGGGTGCTAGTGAAATTATAGGCACATGGGACTTGTCAACTTGTCTCAGGGTGACGGGCGCAGTGCGCCTCAGATCTATGCGATTTAAAGAGCTGAGTGGCACTGCAACTGTTATGGACAGGCGTGTAGCATACCATCAGGCGCACTACTTCCCGTCACTTGATATTATAAAAAAAACAAAATCTTTATAATTTGCTAACTTATAACAGATATAATGTTCTTGTAAAAACATAGCAAAGTGTCGAACCTTTCTTCAGGCTGGCCTACTAGGAATGCAAATCTTATGGACCAGTGACGCTGAGTACGCGTTGAAGAAAGCGAGGGTTGATCGTTTTATCATGCGACTTACCAATCAGAAAAATTTGGATTTATTGAACGGTCTCATTGACTGGACCGTAAAGGATTTAGTGCCGCTGAACAGAACCAGAGTTGAAACCATGATTACCATTCACGTACATCAGAGGTAGAAGTACACATGTCACACTGAATTAATAGAATATCTAAGTATGTTTTTGTCTCTTCTTTAATTTTTGTTACATGTCCACAGAGATATCTTCGATGATTTGGTGAGGATGCGAATTAAATCTCCCGGAGACTTTGAATGGCAGAAGCAGGCACGCTTCTATTACTTCGAGGATTCTGACGACTGTATAGTGTCCATCACTGATGTAGATTTCTTATATCAGGTGATTGATTAGTGTCACTTTTAGATTAAATGCAAGTAGTTGTGTTATTAGTGTGATAGCTAAGTAATGTAATTAAGTTAATATTTTTTTCAATTTTCACGTTTGTTTGTTATTGGGGATAATTTTTTTTTTCAATACTTTTATTTTCATTGCCAAGAGTAATATATAATATTACTATGAATACCAAATGAAACAATTATTCATATTAAATTTGTATTTAATTGATATTCATTTATTATTTGTGAAATTACTCCACTAGTTTGTTATAGCTTGCCAGGGCTGGTAGTTGTAAAGTTACCTAACTGGGTGACGAAATACTTCCTAGATTTCTCATAGATGGCGCTACGGCTAAAAAGTCGTTGAAAACCAAATACAAAGATTCGACAAACAAGCACATAGAGAAAATCCGTAAGGTCCGCTGGTTCGTTCCGTGGCTTAGTTGGCATAGCGTCTGGGGGTCTACTCTCGATCTTCGTCCGACATCCGTCCGAAATAATTACTGCCAAATAAGCAATACTTGACCACATGAAAAGACGCGTGATGCGAATGAAGCTTCATACTTGATACTTGTCTTTTATAATTATATAATAATAATTTTGTCGAATATTACTTATTTGACAGTAATTGTTTCGGACGGATGTCGGACGGAGATCGAGAGTAGACCCCCTGCCACGTATACTTGCGCACGTCACGCTAGCTATCCCGCCGGATCGAAAGATTTTTTTTTCTAAGTGTTCGATCTATGTATTAACAACTATAACAATTATTCATAATTGTTACCGTGATTCATAAATAGATGTTTTTACTAGTATTCTGAATCGCGCTGGCATAGACTTTGTAAAAAAATTTGCTAGCTAGCGTCTCCCTGTACTAATAGAGTTTGCTCTATCTGGCATCTAATGTAAAGTGTTAAATCCTGTTCATACCACAAATGCCTACTGTATTTGTGACGGTACCTATATATATTTGGAAAGTGCTCTCCGTTGCAATGGTCCACCGTTTTGTCAAATAATTCAACAATGCACTTCGTTTGTACCGTAGTACCTTGGGTTAAGTATGTACTATTGCTTCTGCAAAGCCTTTTTTTACTGTCAGTGTACTAGGTATTTGGTACAATCTACTAATTAATATTTACGATTGAAAAAATGTACTTTTATAATAATCGCTGATAATCCATATTTATATAGTTAACTTTAATATTGACTGCTTTTGAAGACGCTTGTAAATTATCGTAGTCAAAACACACTCGGTATAAAGTTTGTATACATCTTTTTTATAGAACGAGTATCTAGGAATCACAGAACGTCTCGTAATCACTCCGCTGACGGATCGATGCTACATAACGCTAGCGCAAGCCATTGGGATGAGCATGGGCGGAGCTCCCGCTGGTCCCGCTGGTACAGGCAAGACAGAGACCACGAAGGATATGGGCCGGACCCTTGGCAAGCTCGTCATTGTGTTCAACTGCTCTGATCAGATGGACTTTAGAGGTAAATAAAAACAAACAAACAAAACTATAAAATGTTGCAGCGGTTCATTGGTAATTGAAGGTCGTAAATGCCATTTTCATTTTTTTGAAAAAATGTGTTTTTGTTCTTTTGCTGATAAATATTAAAATAGAAATAAGTATTAATACATTTCATATTTGAAAATGTAATTTAATAGGTGGTAAATAATTTACCTTTATTTTATTAAGACCAGCTTGATTCCTTCTAGTTGACCACTATCTCGTTGCACCCGAGAGGAGATCGTTACAGTCGTGGTGATGATAAGCTGAGTGTACACGTGTGCTGCACACGGGATAATTTGAGCAAGATTTTTCTGACGATATTAGATAACAAGAAGATTGAAAAGAGTGCCAAATGGCTTGTATATTCATTTCAATTATCAGTAAAATAGTTTTTTTTTTATTATCGTTTGACATAACAACAATTGACAAATTTGGTAGGCACATTCAATCAACTTGTTATTGAACTAGAGTCGGCGGACTGAAGCACATAAGTCAAAATCCAACATCATTCATTTAAATTAATACATCTACCGGCTAAAGCAAATAAGCAAATTAATTTGTTACTTCATAAATTTGTATCTTTATTGCGTCTTTTTCAAATTTATCATTCTCTTCACACCTAACAACACACAAAATATATGTAATTATGTATTAATAATCTTAGTATAGAGTACTAAAAGAACCGACCTCTAAAATACGTGGAATTACATATAATTACCAAGTTTTATTGAAATCGGTTATCGCAAACCCGGATTCATCCCCTAGTTCGCCACTATACGGGATTTGACACAGGAGATAATAAAAATCGGCTGTCACTACTCAAAGTGTATTGAGAGATAAACGCCTTGAATTGGAGAATAGCAAAATCAACGATTAAAATAATTGCTCCTTATAATAAAATTTAGGCGCTATTTATAAAAATGAATCTTCATGCGTGAACAGCCACCCTTAGAGGTGGATGATTTTCTTCAAAATTAAATGGGACCACTATGGAGGTACCCTATTTCCAACAAAAAAAGATTATCAAAATCGGTTCACAAATAAAAAAACCATACAGTCGAATTGAGAACCTCCTCCTTTTTTGAAGTCGGTTAATAAATGAAGCTCTTTTTTGACTTATGCACTTTAGTCCGCCGACCCTAGGAATATCGTCAGAAAAATCTTGTTAAAACATAACTGTTACGTAAACTGTCACTCCTCCCGCACCGCGCAGCTACTTCAGGAATCGACTCAGTTAAGCAGTAGGCCAATAGTAAATTAGAATTGTATTTTCTAGTAAGTAATGGATTTTTTTCCCAATTCACTAGTTAATTCTTGCATATTTTTGGCGCATACAGGCTTAGGCCGTATTTACAAAGGTCTAGCGCAGTCTGGCACATGGGGATGTTTCGATGAGTTTAACCGTATCGAGCTGCCCGTGTTATCTGTAGCCGCGCAACAAATCTACATCTGCCTTACGGCTAGGAGAGAAAAAAAGCAGTTCTTTATATTCAGGTATTATAATGTTATGTTATGTTATTGGAATGTTTTGTTTTTTAGGTTATGATGTCGATGGTTTTTTAATACTTTTAAATGTAAATAATACAATAAAATAAAAATAAATAAAATAAATAAATAAGTGCGTACAATTAGGTACCTAACATAGTTCGTTGTTTTCTCACTTGTCCTTAGATAATTACAATACATTACAGTAATATTATTTTATATTCAACTAAAACGATGTGCCAGTATTTGTCGAAAGACTGCCGCATATTTATTGCGCATCGCCGCCTTCTATTAAACATCAGCCTGCCCGGCGCGCTCTAAAAGTTCTGCGTTCTAGAAAGCGCGAAAAGAATGTTTCGCCTGCGTCAGGTCTAGGGAAATATTGCGGTTAATTATGACGTGATGGGTTTCTTCATTATTACTTGCTGCTTTCGTACGCTATGTATCGTGTTATAGTCAGAGTTCTACGTTTTGAGTAAGAGTCATAATGGCTGATACAGATGCTTCAACATTGCGACCTAAACAAGTTCAAATATTAAAGAAATTGGCCGTGCCTACTGGGACAGATGTGCGTTGTCTGGCGGTTAACATTGCGATGCTCCACTGTATTGAGTTGCTTACAAAGTGACAAAGCTTAGAGTAATTGTTTTCAACTCTCAGTGACGGAGACGTAGTGACTCTAAATCCAGAGTTCGCTTTCATCATCACTATGAATCCTGGCTACGCCGGTAGACAGGAGTTGCCTGAAAATCTGAAGATTATGTTCCGCTCCGTTGCTATGATGGTGCCTGACCGACAGATCATCATTCGAGTCAAGTTGGCCAGTTGTGGTTTCAAAGAGAATATCTTGCTGGGTATGTTATTATACGTATATTAGAGAATATTTTCGGTTTTCTTGTGTAAAATGGTTTGGTACACTGTAAAGTTGACCACGTTATTATAGAAATCAATTGTGTTTGAGCTGCGTTTAGTTACCGGTTTAGTGATATTGTTAGATTTTACATGTACAATGATCACAAGTCCAGTTTTTATATTCCGTTTAAATTAGTCTGCTTGTTTTTAAATTTCTCACTTTTGTTTTGCAGCCCGTAAATTTTTCACTCTATATAAGCTATGCGAAGAACAACTGTCAAAACAGGTGCATTATGATTTTGGTCTCCGTAATATTTTGTCAGTGCTAAGGACTATGGGCGCACAGAAGCGTAACAATCCTGACAGCACAGAAGAGAACATCATGATGAGAGTATTAAAGTTAGTACAGATTTCTTACTATGTATATAAACAACGGATGGTCGCCCAGAAATGTTATAGTGAGTGATGTAGAAAGTAGCTTAGAAGTAAATCCAGTAGGTTGTCAGACTAACCTCTTAGTGCATTAGATAAATGGGCCGATCTTCAACCTCCCTTTTTTTTATAAAACGTAAGTGCGCATTTGACCTCCATCTCACCTGATGGAAAGTGACGATGAGGTCGATTTTCAAGGCGAGAGTGAATAGGCATTATTTAGGTGTGCATGCTACATCGTTTATGAATTATCATTATTTGTGAAAGCAGTTTCCAGCAGGCCTTAAGGTGTTGATACTAATGAAAATTTTTTCATTGTATTCCAGAGAGATGAATGTGTCAAAGCTAGTGGATGAAGACGAACCGCTGTTCATATCTTTGATTGAGGACTTGTTCCCGGGAATGAAACTTACTCAGACTCAGCAGAAGTAACATCTCCTAATTAGTTTTGTTATATCCCAATTTAGAAATCGTTTCGATATTCATACTAAAATAACGATTTATACTTTTAATAAACTTGCTACTACTTTTAGTAAACTTTATCATCATCAATGATTTGTGGACGGCGTGAAGCAGATGGATTTAATTTTAATCATGAGCTTCATTTTGCATTCTTAATTAGTAGCTGGATTGTTAACTTTGGCCCCAGAATGGAGGCAATATCATATTTTTGACATGATAATCATGATCATCATCAATACTAGAAAACAATTACAGAGTCAAAATCCATTAGTCTGCTATTCGTTGTTAAAAAAGAAATCAGTGGCGAATAGTTTGCTTAAGAAATTATTCTCCAACTTCATAGTAGGTATCATCGGAAATATCTTGTATCTCCGCATTGGCTGAGTATCCCTACATCGGCTTACCTTATTTTATTATCACTATTCGCCACTAGGAGTAATACTTATTACATTTGTGTTTTAGAGAGATGCAACGCGCCATTACTCTAATAACAGAACGCACGGGCCTCATCAATCATCCTGAATGGAATTTGAAGATTATCCAACTTTACGAAACATCGCTTGTACGCCATGGGCTGATGACAATGGGCCCTACCGGTTCAGGAAAGACAACCTGCATTCACACGTTGATGGCTGCTTTGACGGAGACAGGGAGACCCCACAAAGAAAATAGAATGAATCCTAAGGTAAAAAATACTGAGATGAAACTGGTGGTACCTACCATTGACTGAAAAATTTATATTCGTGTTGTCAGTAGATAAATTGCTCCCTTGACGATAGTTCAAGTCTAATATTTCAGCCTGTGTACAATCTTCTACACTGCCAATTTTTCACACCTACTGTAGTGTTGTTACGGAACACAGTAGTATAATAGTAAATTTTAATGAAAACATAGAAGGAATCTGTGAAGTCACGTTTTTTGGTTAAATAAGATAGCAGTAGAGCAGTAGTAGCAGGAGCAATAGAGCTTCTTGTGAAAGAGTTCGTCCAGGGAAATTACCACTTACCTATTTCTGCCGCCAAGCAGTAATGTGAGCATTAGTGCTTTCCGGTTTGGAAGGTTAAGGACGCCGGTGAAATTACAGGATCATGAGACTTGTCAATTTATGTCTGAGGGTGACGGGTGCAGTAACAGTGCCTCTTAGATCTTTGCGATTTAAAGCTCTGAGCGGCACTGCAACTATTATGGACAGGCGTCTCGCTTACACCACGCACACGACTTGTACGTCCTGTCATTTTGTAGCATAGAAAAAAAGACAATCATCAGTCAGCCATATTTGGAGATGACTGACTCTGGTCCGGATCCAGTCGAATCAAAGGACTTTTTCTTTGAGTTTTTTGTCTTTGTAGCAATAATAATAACAAACTTGTGGAGTATTTTCACAAAAAAATAGATGAATACAAACAGTGCAGTACAAACATCGTGATATTCAAGAAAAAAAAAGATAATCATCAATCAAATTTAAATAACAAAGAAGTGAGACGTTCTGTTCCTTACACTTTGTTTTGATTTACTATTAAAAATTCACGTACAAAGTAGGTATTTTGAATATCTTTGAAAGCACCTGCCCGCATATATTAATAGATGATTGGCTTATTTCCGCTTTGTAGAGCGTCGAGTCTTGTCACCCTACTTGTGTGACTTTTTTTTGTCAGTGTCGTGGGACGGAGACAGCGCTCTATAAATCCGAAGTTAGGCGATTAAGGTCGACAATCTTTTTGTATAGCCCAATGTGTATAAAATTTACATCTTGGAACTGTTCGTACTTTCAAATGCTTTTATTATGCATCTGTTTGTGTGCTTTAAATATAACTTGCTTTTCTTGCAGGCCATAACAGCTCCACAAATGTTTGGAAGATTGGACGTGGCGACAAATGACTGGACGGATGGTATTTTCTCAACGTTATGGAGACGAGCTTTAAAAGTCAAGAAATCTGACACCACATGGATTGTATTAGGTGTTGTATTATAAAAATACCTTATCCTTTATGTATTTTAGAGCTGATGTAAATTCGTCCGTGTAGATTTTGGTAAATAACTGGAACTTTCAGAACTTTTTGTTTTTTGTATAATACCAAATGACGGGACGAACTCTTGCGCCTGATGGTAAGCTACACTCCTGTCCATAACAGTTTCAGTACCACTCAGAGCTTTAAATCGCAAAGATTTGAGGGGCACTGCCACTGCGCCCGTCACTCTGAGACATAACTTGACAAGTCCCATGTGCGTATAATGTCACCAGCACCCTTACCCTTCATAACCGGAACACAGTAATGCTGACATTATTGTTTGGTGGCCGAAATTTAATTCTTCGTTTAATTCTATAACTTGACATCCCAAATTCCTCTTTAGGGTAGTTTCTTGTAAGCACCATCTGAAATTCATCCTCCAAACAGTTCAAAACACAACAAAACTGTTGCTTAGATATTCTAAAACATTATATCTACTCTCCATAACAAATTTATTAGTTTTGTTTCGTCATTGTTTGTAAATAGTTTTTTGTTAGGCGAAACGAGGACGCATCTTTTACGGGCAAATCCTATTCTGAAACTTCGTATCATTCTATACGTTTATAATGAAACACGTATTTTTAAACACGTACCTACATTTACACGTATTTACACATACAGTTAATATAAGGTTTTGTGTAGAAAACAAAAATAAAGTCGGTTAAATTGTGGAGTTTCCTTACTTTTATTTTGGGTAACTACCAAATTTATGCGGATGAAATCGTGGTTATAAGCTAGTGCCCTCTATTATATAGGAAAGTTTCGTAAATTGTATGAAATCTTCAAACGATTGATTACTTTAGGTTTTAGGTTCTAGATTTAGGCCAAATGTCTAGAATCACTAAATCTCTTAAATAATTTATGCTTGGATGTCATGTAAATAACGTTCTTCAGTCTCAAGAGAGAGATCTGGAATGTTTATCCTGGGTCTGTTTCGAGTTATTCGCTGTCAAAGTATTTTGTTTTAATTGACCCTTAATTCTTTAATCACCATTGCAATAAACGAAAAAATAATTGAGGTACAGCTTCAAAATGTATTAACTAACGGACGATGCCCAATGTGTACGTGGATGAAAGGTTGTCGGGGCTGCTCGGCTGAGGATTTTTAGGTGACGAAATCTCTGAATGAATTTCAATGATAATGGTTGTAACTACAAAAACAAAGCAGCGGCACGCTTAGGTTACCAATTCGAAATGAGGGTACAATCAGCAGGACGTTCAAGGTTTGCGCGTACATCGTGTCTTGTGTTGGATGTATCTAATACAATACATCCAACGCTAGACACATGTCTGCACGCAATGTTCGCGCACACCTTGATACCGAGCCGACCGCCTCCGGAAAACCTCGGGAACCTTGGGTTTGTTTCGGCATGCTTGACTATGCCGGGCCAGGGACTAACTCACGGCAGGACTAATCTAAAGACGGGACAGGCGCGAGCACGATGCCGCGACAGAATGCTTCGGCATGCTTAATGATGCCACGTCGTACCTAAGGATACCGTGGCTTGTTTTAAGAACTCATTGTGCACTTGCACGTAGATATGCCGTAGGATCCCTTGCTGAGCTGTACTGTTAGTGGGCGCTGGGTCTAAGTCGTATGTAAGTACGTCTTAGACGCAGCGGATATTTGTTTACAAAAATAATCACAAATTAATTCATATTATTATAAACATATACAGAATAGACTAACTTAACTTATTATTAACTTAACTTTATGTTGGTGTAACAGACACACTGTTGACTCTTTGATTTGAAATCTTCAATTAAAATTAGCTATTATTGTTCGGACTGATAACGGGTTTAATAATAATTAACAGACGGCCCCGTGGATGCTGTTTGGATCGAGAATTTGAACTCAGTGCTGGATGACAACAAGACGTTGACCTTGGCGAATGGCGATCGTATCACGATGGCTCAGAACAGCAAACTTGTGTTCGAGCCGGACAATGTAGACAACGCCTCGCCGGCCACCGTTAGTCGGGTAGGCATGGTGTTCCTGTCTTCGTCTGTCCTGAAGTGGCAACCTATATTGGAGGTAAGTATAAACTGCCTTCTGTGAATTAAGTGTAACATGAAGTGGATAAAGCCATGGTAGTCTAATGGTTTGACCTACCGCATCTCAAGCAGAGGCCGTTGGTTCGAATCCGGACTAGCGTGGCCGATTATGTCCGAAACCCTTGTCTGAGAGGATCCGTGCCCAGCAGTGGGACGTATAAATGGGTTGATGAGGATGAAGGGAGTTTTATTCAGCTTATGACGTATGTTTTGTTTCCACGTTTATTATGCAAACGGCTATGTTTCCCGAACGATATAACCTTGTATTGGAAATCTTTAAAGATGTGGACAATTTAGAAATTTTTAAGGCGAATGAGTACCTTTTTCATTTGTTTACTTTTCATTAGGTGATAGCATTGACTTACAAATAAAATAGGTATTGCGGTCAAAAGTGAACTAATCTGTTATAAAATAAAACTAAATATGTAACATTCGTCATAATTTTGTTCATAGCTCCCACGACTTCTGTTTAGATCGGATACGTGATTTGGCTTGGCTTAATCGTTATTTAAATATGGATTTTATTTAAAAGCTATTGTTCCTAGGGTTGGCTTAAAAAGAGAAGTGACAAAGAAGCTAATTGTTTCCGACAAAATTTCCTAAAAATTTATGATGACGTTCACCTGTATGTTCAGCAAAAGTTGGTTGCAAAAATGAAAATTCTCGAGGCAATTTACATAAGGTTAATATTTTAATGTATTATTAAAGTAATTTAGGAGCAAAGCAGATTTTAAATTCTGCTGTTATTAAATAGTAGGTATACTAACTTTTTTACTTTTTTTTTTATTTAAAAAATCTTTGCTTTTTATATTAATGTCAGTCAATATGGTAGAATGAAGAATTTATGAAACTTGGTAAGAAGACAGAGCATTGAACAATTTATCTCCTTGCAGACAATGCATTGATGTGCTGGTAGGTTTGCTTCAAATTGAAGTACCCGGGGGAAGTAAGTTGCTTTTGTTTATGAATATTTTCCATGTGTGAATACATTGAATAACATTATTTATTTGTAAGTTAGTTACAGCTTCAGTGCGTTATGTTGTAGCCTTGTTTTTGGAATCAATAAACTTAACATACTATTCGATTTGAAATTTCAGAGGTGCATACCGACCGTCATATGGAACGTTTATTTTTATTTTCAATGATGTGGTCTCTCGGTGCTGTACTAGAATTAGATGGTCGTCTCAAAATGGCGGAGTTTATGACTAAATTACCAGTTAAAATGGATTGGCCCGGGGCCAAGGGTAAACAAGCGGAGTGGGTCATGCCTTTTGACTACATGGTCAATCCTGCGGGACAGTGGCAACATTGGTAAGTAAATTGTTTTTTAATGATCGAGTGACGGGATAAATAAGTCGTGTGCACGATGGTGCAAAATTCTAATTCGTAACGAAACAAGTTTATTCTGTTGAAGTGCATGCGGGACCTACAGTATTTTAGTGTAATATAATATGTATTTTTTGTGATACTAAGTGTTGGGACGAATAAGTCGAGTACCTGGTGGTAATCGACATGTCTTGTGACAAAAACTCATTTCGGACTCACTTGTAGATGGCGTAATTTTGAGGCATACATTATAAATGTGCGTTTGAATTTCGGACACGTTACACACGTTGCGTTACGATACCTGCAATTTGTAAAAACTTATTATAATGTAAAAAGATGTCTGAAACGAGCGACTTCATCCTCAACATGGAGCATCTAGGAGGCCAGTGAGATCTGCTGAAGATGATACTGTCGATTCGTTTAAATCCAGCGAATTTATAATGAATGATTAAAAATACGTTTCATTTTTTTTCAATTGAACTTTTAAATATGCTTGATTCATAATTTATTTCCTTAAAAACCAATAATAAAACGAACGCCCCATTAATAAAAGAAAAAAAATATATACAAATGTTTCTAATTACTTTAAAATAAGAATAACACCTGAATCTTATAGCTAAACCATAGAACAAATAGACAATAAAGTATTTAAGACTCATATTATAAATTTTAAAAAGATATAAGACATTAAAACTTTATTTTAAATTTTCTCGAATCGCACTTTTACGTGATAAGCCTTTGTTACAACCAATGCGTCAATTGCACCAGGCAGCACCCCTAAACCTTCAAAACCGTAACGCGTAATATGCTCACATTACTGCTTGGCGTCAGAAAAAGGTAAGGTGGCAGTACTTTCCCGGATGAACTCCTTCACGAATAGCTCTACTGCTACTTAACGTTATTTATATAATTCTATTTATCATTCACATCATGGTAACTGCATTAATTATTTAAACCATTATATAAGAACGTAGCAGTACTAGGAGGGGCCAGTCTCCTTATTTTTTCACTTTGTAACATAAGTTAACTCGTAGTCTTCCTAGCATAAGTGATAAGTGACTAAGTAGAGGGCCCTAGTAGTACGCGACGGGTATGGCGATATAAGGTTAGCAGATTGGGACAATATGCGCAATTTTTTTGCTTCATATCCTTGACAGGCATGCTTTTCTTTAGGAGACTCGTCGAGCTGTGCTGATGCTGTAGTCGAGGTCTTGCGATTGGATATGGAGTTACATACCTTACTCTGATGTATCTAATGGACCCCAAGCTCGTCCTTGGTTTACTGACTGTAGCCGTGCTGAAGCACAAAAACAGTCGGAGTACTAAGCTTGGGCAGATACTCGACTGCGCAAAGCCCCGAGTACTCAGAATCTGAAGAAAGCTTTTAATAAGGCCGCCAAGAAGTGCAAAAGAGTGTTACGTAGGGCAAAGTTCGATTATGTGCGCCCCATAGGGGCCAAACTTGCCTCTTTTCCAGCAGGCAGCAAGTCTTTGTGATCCCTTGCTAAAGTGGTCGAATCAAACTTTAGCCGCACTTCCTTACCTCCTCTGCTGAGGCCGAATGACTTGCTGACTCATACTGCGGAAGAGAAGGCGAATCTTTTAGCCTTACTCTTTGCAGAAAATTCACGTCTCGATGCCGCAGCGAACCTAACACCTTCTTAACCTCACACCACTGGCTGGGGTACGGCGCCAGTTTGCATACGCCAAAAAGAGGTACTCAGAACTCTGCGAAGTTTAGACGTGAATAAAGCCAGCGGACCAGATGGAATTCCAGCAATAGTCTTGCGTAACTGCGCGCCAGAGTTGTTTCCTGTTCTCACACGCTTGTATCGCCTCTCACTTGAGATTGGTGTAGTTACCAGGTCCTGAAAGCTTGCAAACGTGCAACATGTGCAAAAAAAAGGAAGCAGGATTGACCCTGTTTACTATCGATCTATCTCAGTCACCTCCATACTCTGCAAGACTATGGAACGTGTACTTAATAACCGTCTCCTGTCGTATCTTAAATACACCGACCTTCTCAGTGATCGTCAGTACTGATTCCGACGAGGGAGATCTTTTTGTTTGCATGTCAGCTGTGGAGCGAGGCTATAGAAAGACATGGCAAAGCACTTGCAGTGTCTTTAGATATTTCTAAAGCCACTGATGGGATCTGGCACGCGAATGCGTGAAAGCTGAATAGCTGAACTAATTCATCTAGGTGCACTTTTAGTAAACTTAAATCACCTGGTTGCATTAGATAAGCATACAAGTAAACTTTATTCACCTAATTCACCTGGTGAACATAAAAGTAAACTGCATTCACTCCTTTATTTAATATGGAACCTTTTTGTCAGTGGTACTCTGGCTTTACTCATTTGATCTGGTCACTTGAGACGCTTTCAATTGTTTTTGAATAAATAACGTTGAGAAAACTATAATTTTTAACATCTATCTATACCGACTACGACACAAGTAGCGAAGCGTTGTAATTGTAAAACCTGTCCACATTTTAAGTATGGCTCACTTTAAATTTATACATAGAGGGAGAGGTGTTGTGCTATTACATAACGGACGACAATATTTTAGAAAAAAATTACAAAAATAGTGCTCACTGTTGGAGATGTTGCAATAATTCAATTACTATAAAATGCACCGGTTCTGTAACAATAAAAAATGTAAGTTTTCATATTGTGCTAAGCTTTATTTCCTTTGCCTTATGTACTTGGTACTTGGTACTTGGTGCAACGGGCTGGTATCCGCAACTCGACGACAAAGCGCCTATTTTGCCTTATGTATTAAGTACTTAGGTGAATTAATTCAGGTGAATTAATTCAGGTGAATTAATTCAGGCGAATTAATTCAGGTAAATTAATTCAGGTGAATTAAGTTAATGGGTACTTGTGTCCGACCGTCTCCAGCTACTTGGAATGGACCTGTCGTCCAATTTGAACTTCGGCAGATACATTGAATCCGTGACCAAAAACGCAACCAGGAAGCTTGGCATCCTTTCCAGGGTGAGGCGTTATTTCACACCGTGACAGTTGCTTTAACTGTACCAAGCACGAGTCCGGTCGTGTATGGAGTACTGCTGCCACTTATGGGGATGGCTCTGCTAAATACCAACAGGCCACCTTGGATTCAATCAATAAGCGTGTCAAGAGGCTTATAGGTGACTCGGAATTAGTGGAAGCGAAGCTGCAGAGCCTTGAACACCGCCTTAAAGTTGCTTGCTTATCGGTATTCTACAGGATATATCACGGAGAGTCTGCGACGGAATTGTATAATTTGATTCCGCCTTCCCCATTCCATCATCGGTAGACTGGACGTGAGGTGGGATTCCCTCCGTATGTTGTGGATATTCCCAGGATTGACATGAAGCGTTTCGCTTCCACATTTATAGTGCGACCGGCTAGAGAGTGGAATTCCCTACCTGCGGACTTTTTCCCCGAAAGCCATAACTTGGACCTTTTCAAGGCCAGAGTGAATAGGCATTACTCAATGTGTGTATGCTACATCGTCGACCTCGTCATCACTTTCCATGAGATGGAGGTTAAATACGCACTTATTTAAACGTCGTCCAGTAGCCCGTTTGCTTTCTAATCTATTAATGGCACAATAGTAAATAATTAATTATTATAAGGAACCATCAAGATCAATTGCCTAGTGTGGTATAACGGAAATCCACCAGTCCTAACATATTTAGGTTATGTAGGACGGTAAATAGTTACAGTGACATTATTGATGTTCACCATGACTCCTCTCGGGTCTCGTAAATCTAATTTTTTATTTATAAAGTTCAGTCAAATAATTCAATCGTAAAACTAGTGTACGCATCAATTCCTAATCATATTGTATTTGTCAAAAGTGTAAGTGTTAGTTTTTTTTAAACTTTAGTTAAACATAGTTATGTTTTAGTGCATGTTGTGTTTACCTCTTAAGTGTTTGTGGCGATTACATTTTCACGCTTGTAAAGTTAACAAGATGTAATAAGTAATATTGTGCACACAAGTTGGTAAACCTAATACATAAATGAATAAATAAATTGCAATTATATTTTTTTGTTACCTACCTAGTTTCTCCTGAACCCAAATAAAATCTTTTCATTTTCTCCTCAGGGCAGAGATCGTAGAAGAGTATATTTACCCAACAGATAGTGTACCTGAGTACGCTTCAATTCTGGTACCGAATATCGATAACGTGTGCACGGGGTTTTTAATTGACACTATTGCTAAACAAAATAAGGCAGTACTGTTGATCGGTGAGCAGGGAACTGCCAAAACTGTAATGTTGAAGAGTTATATGCAAAAGTACGATAATGAAGTGAAATTGTTCAAAATGATCAACTTTTCTTCAGCTACGACTCCAAATATGTTCCAAGTTAGTCGTGCTAAAATTTTATTATTATTATTAGACAACATCACATACATTGCTCTGATCCCTGTAAGCAGTTAAAGCACTTGTGTTATGGAAATCGGAAACAACGACAATATAGAAAAGTTAGTTTTTACACTGACCCGGCTGGGGAAGACCCGGGACCTCAGAAATGGCGACACCATGAAAACCGGTGTGCAAGCCACTCGACCACGGAGACCGTCAAAAAGTTTGTTACTGCAAGAATATAACGTACACATTAATTAATACACATAAAATAAAAGTTTTCAATAGAGATTTGATTTTAGGGTCGAACTGTAAATTTGTTGAATGAATTTGATTTCACTGAAGTGTTGTAGTAATAGTGCTTGGTAAAAAAAATATTACTGATTCCCAGAGAATCATCGAGTCGTATGTGGAGAAAAGAGTGGGCATGACGTATGGCCCGCCAAACGGCAGATCCATGACTGTCTTTGTTGACGACATCAATATGCCCGTGGTCAACGCATGGGGTGATCAGGTACAATTTAGATAGTCATCTACCTATTTATCATTCCCGCTGGGTGATATGGTAATTCCTGTCCTGGCTCTATCCTTCGAATTCTCTGTCTATGTTTTAAAATTATCGTATTTTCACAGGTGACAAATGAAATTGTCCGACAAATGATGGAGTGTGGTGGTTTCTACTCTTTAGAGAAGCCTGGAGAATTTACCATTATTGCAGACATACAGATGTTTGGAGCCATGATTCATCCAGGTGAGTAGATAGGTAACTACTAATATCGCGTAACTAAGCGCCAGTGTATGTCGGCTTTATTTCAATACCAGGGAATACCCAGAATTTGATCAAAATTAAACTCATAGAGCTTCGTTATTTATTTGCAACTTTTCGGGAAGCCTCGTTAAAATGTAATGTTTCCTATTTAGAGGAACATCCTCATCGTAAGACTTGGAATTAATTGTTTGCGTGACTTTCGAAAACGAGCTATTTCCATGATGAATGCACAATGTTAGTTGCAATGTTCACACTGGCAAAAGTGCGAGCCCTGTAGCGCTTGGCTCAACGTCCTCACCAGTCGAATTCAATGATGCATTTCGCGCGTGAAATGTCACGCGAATGATCCCGGTGATATTGTTTTTTTTATGGTACCAATGAACAAATCAAGCGAAACGCCCTTCAAAACCGGAACGAAGTAATGTTCACATTACTGCTTGGCGATAAAGTAGCAATACTTCCCAGGACGAAGTCTTTCACAAGGAGCTCTACTGCTACGAGTTACCTCCTTAAGTCATTTACCATCGGCTGGTTGATTTCTCTTTTGTCACAATATAGTAATACCCAGTATTTTCTGATTTTACCGTGTATTCTGACTGTTGGTTTTTTAATTTTCTTTCCCAGGTGGTGGACGCAACGATATACCTCCTCGACTAAAGAGACAGTTTAACGTTTTTAATTGTACTTTGCCAAGTGTTATTTCTATGGATAAAATCTTTGGTTAGTTTTCATTTATAGATGAACATGCTTTTAATGTATTTAATAAATTAAACGTACCTGTGACTCTTAGAACACTGTTACATTCCCAATCCAACTTCAAATGTCTCCACAGTTCTTTTATTTTACGTGCAGCTCGTATGTGGAATAAATTGCTTGCTATCATTCATAACAGTCCATCGGTATCATCATTCAAAAGCAAATTAAAAGAGCACTTCACGTCAAACTCAACAGTTAATCAGTAACATAAATATTAAGTAAAGAT